AGTACATTGTGAATTTCTCTGGATCCGGCACCTGTTTTAATAATTCAGTTATTTCATTGCGTCTTGCGGAGATCTCAGCATCTGGCACTTACAAATGTCCCTGAAGTTTTGTAGTTCTAATTATGCTTTAGGGTTTTCTTGTTTCAGTTCTGTAACTTAAGTATACATAACGATATAAAAGTGTTTCAAATATGATGACAATTTTAAAGGTTGACTGTTAAAAGTCGTCTGTTTATGTACCTCAGTCTCACCTATTTAAGCTACCAAGCAGCTTGCTTTGTAAGCTGTGTTTCTAATAGGGTCTATTAATCAGTATAATTACTGGAGGCATAACAGCTAAGTCTTCCGGAATGGGATCCCATGATACCACTCACGGGAGAGGCATGACAACGTTATGTAATAGTACTGTTAATGTACACTGGTGACCGCTACCATTTACCATGAAGTGGCCGTTAGCTTGTATACCATATATTCTTTCAGTTACATAAAAATCATATAAGAGTTATTTCTTACCACATACGGATGCAATATTTTATATCACTGTCTGTACCTACAATTCGGCTGGCTACTTCAGATGAGAAGAACCGGTAAGAAGGTCTGGTTATTTTTTTTATTTGTCATCAATATCAAACATTATAATAATAATAATAGTATAAACCTTCATCAATGTATAGTTTGATGCAGTCCTGACTCCCAAGTGTGAGTTGTATGTTAGGAGTCAGTTCCTTACAAAAAAAGGATTATAAATAAAATTTACTTGAAGAATATTTGCTAAACTTAATACTTAAATTAGATTTATATGTGTGTGTGAGTGTGTGTATTTGAATGTGTAGTTAATATGATTTCCGCTATATATTACTAAACTATAAATAGAGCCAGTGCACAGCCTCTATCCTGCTTCACATACACATATATATATAGCGAATTGTATAACAAACAGTCTAGTCAAAGGTAATTAAACCCACGTAAAGTGTATGTTATGTATCTGCCATGTTCATTACTGTTCTGTTTGGTCGCTGAACAAACGGTGGTGTCGACAGCTAACAAACAACTGCCTGCTATCTATTTGATTTCGACTATTGAATACATATACTAGCTGTTTATTGTGGCTTCCCTCATATATACAAATATACATTCATATTCTTAGATGGGGTAATCAGAAGCATTGACAACTATCGACATGACAACCTAATACGTCATTGAGATTATTCGAAATCCATTGTAGCAGTGGAAATGCTTATTGCCGTGTCTCGGATTATATTTCGATTTTCATTTGGTTTGTTATCGCCGTTTATCATTGGAGAGTTAATTATTTAAATTGGCAGATAACTTTTTTGGTGTTGGCCAAATTGGATATTACGATTTATTAAGTTAATGTAAATCTTTCCACAAAAATTTAGAATGCTCTGAAAATGGTGAGCAAAATATACATTAATTTGTTGACAGCAATTATATTATTTGTATTACCAGACCAAGATATAAAGTAATAATAACAAATTAGTATACATAATAGAATTTGATTAATACCAGATTTCAAATCATAATGGCGGCGACGTTAGAGTCTAACTGACGATTAAAATAATGATTAACGTTTATGGATGTCGTTAACTTCGCTCTGATTAATAGCTTACATCGATAAGCCCTTATAACAGCGTTATTTAACATACCAGATTTCTTATTATAAAAGCGACATGCTGTAAAAGTCGTGTAAAGATTTAACAAGCGTTTAATTACCGAGGTAGACTCATGTACATGGGTATCCATATTATTCTATACCAAGCCTGCCCGCGGTTTCACTCGCGTGAAATTTATAGCCTATATGTTATTCTGGCGTATAAGCTACATTACTGTAAGTTTCGTCAAAATCCGCTCAGTAGTTTTTGCGCTAAAGACTAACAAAGATCCATCTATACTCACAAACTTTCGCCTTTTATAATATTAATAAGATTTCTACTGCCAAGTAGAGTTATGTTAGTTGTGTTTAGCTGTAAAGGGTGAGAGACGTGGTGTATAAATTACAGAGCAATGTAATTTTTTATATAATTGCATAAACAAGCTAACGGAAAGTTTATTACTTAAGGATTTATAATATTTTATTTAATTCCGCTACCATTAGCATATGTGAGACCACAAAATATTCACAGCCATTGGAAGCGTTACGACGTTCTCTATTGGTGATTAAATTCCGACCGTTATTGAGTTTGCACCTATATTGCGACACGTCATTTGCCTCTGAATGAGATATCATCAGGCAATGAATATAACTCGGAAGTTTAGTGTTAACAGTTCGCCGAACAAACTGTGGAAGTTTATTAATCTTATTTATATATGTGTAAATATTTAAAAACCTCCGAACTTCATTATTATTATTATCTTTTATCATATATTATCAGTGTCTATTACATAAACGCAAAATTGTCATCTCTCTGCCGTACGAATTTTACTTAACTGTTAAACTCGCTTTGACTTCCATGATACAGCCATAGCCTAGTGTGAAGTAATAGATTAAATGCTTAAGTTTTTCGAAATAAATGTTATTCTTATTCTTATAAATAAAATCGTAAAAATACTTGATAATTTCGTTGTATATGTATACAAAACAAATTCTATATTATGATTCGTATAAAGCGCCATTTTCAGAAGCCCTGAATTCGTATAACATATATACTAAACATGACACCGTGTCACTTTCCCGGTGGCCGCTCCTCCCTTGAACTTTCCGACTACAGTTCCCAGTTTCAGTACTACAGTTTGCACTTAGTCGTACACCGCCACCCGTCAAGTTGCTAAGTTATCCAGTCGACATGCCCGACTTAAATGAAACACAGTTATTTAGAGTTGCCTTTTATATTTTATTTAATGTTTTCGAGGTAAATTCTGTTTAAAATCTCTCCCTCTCTCTCTCTCAATCTCTCAAATGGGCCCTTCATTTATTTCAGCAAATTTTTATTACATTTTGCCAGCTTTTGCTACTTTTTCCATTGCACCTTCGCTCCTGTTAGTGATGCCTTCGTTGATAAAAGGGCCATTAAACACTAATACAGTTTTCAAAATCAGTTCAGTAGATACAGAGATTACTGCCCTATTTATAATATTAGTCTAGATGTTTCGATAATTTCGTTGCGTCCCCTCTCTTGCGTCTCACTCTTCTGTAGGGAAGGTAATGAAACTACAGGTTACAGAGTAACGACAAAACCAGTACTGTGGAATGGGAACGTGTGAGTGGTGCTGTTCATAGTTAAGGATGATGATGAGGATACCAGTAATTTTACTGTTATATATCTTCCGCGTAAACTTTAATATAACTTAACTTTCATATCTCCTTTAACAAGGAAAGTCTTTTTCCATCAATACAGTCCTATTTTACGGTATTTAATAGTGCAGTATTTTATCTGTGGTCTGATAATAGCAGAAACATAATCTCATTAACATTAAGTACATATTTCGGGAACCCTACAACGAATGTCGTTTGGACCTTCAAGACATTTGACGGGGCCGGCGCTAACGAGCCAACTTGCGCATCGGAACGTGTCGTAACTACCACGCAACAACAAAACTAATACTGTAAACGTATATTCAGTTGGAAACCAACGATAATTTATTAAGGGAGTTTTGTTACACTATAAACTTGTTACTATAATGCGGATAGCAGCGAACTTAATAGGTAATAAAACTCTAAATAAGGACTAAGTGTGCATACAGCCGAGCATGTGGGTATAGTAGTTTATTAAATACTTTATGAAGAAATGAAGTTACTTGTTTCTTTGAAGACTGACATGAAATAAATGAAAGCGAATTTAACTTAGACACAGAAGAGTAAATGACTACTCTTTTTGAAATAAAGTTACGTCTTAATGAGGAATATTTTTTATTAACAATTTGGTTTTTGTTTAACTTACTAAGCTATATTATTTACTATCATTGCCAGTCAGAAAAAAAGGAAGAAAATGGAGTTTACAACGGTTTCTAGGGTCCTACTTATAGTCATCCAACAACGAATCCAACTTTATTATAATACTTAAGATTTGTTATCGGTCGTTGTTTCATTAGTTTGTACATTTATACTAAATAAACTTTTTTATAAAAATAAAACGTCTCATAAAAATATAATAGTTACATGTTACGTCATAAATATAAAATAATTATATAAAGGTCTATCTAACAGCATTTGTTTTAGAAACATCTACATTTCAAACTTTAGGCAGAGATTCGTAGTTTCTTTGTTAGCAAACATTAATAAAATCAATGTCTACCATTGCACTCTCATAAAAGGGTTGGCAAAGGTTATTGTCCTATAAGTTTGTTTTCCTTGCATGTAGACGATGTTTGCATTCTAAACGTAGACTATATCGTATATTAAATATATGTGTATTGTACATTTGTACATGTATAATCAAATACTCTGTTTCACTGCCACTTTCAGTGAAATGAGTCTCATTTTTTTCAAGACCAAATGCTTATGATTTATGATCTCAATTTTCGCCGGCGCAATGTGTTTGGCAAATTTTATGTCGGCGTTTAGAAGTTATTAGCTTATAATGAATCTCTTTATTCTTAAGAGTTCTGTACTCAAATTCTCTTTTATGTAATTACAATTTCATCGCAATTCGATCATTCATTTTCGATTTCTTACTCACATAACATATATAAGAAATATGTTTATTTGTATCAGAATAATTGTATGTAAGTCCTTTTGTTGCTGGCATTATAAAAAAAAGTAATGGTGAAAATTATAATTCTTTATTTAAAATTGCCGCGAAAGCTCAAAATTGATTAAACTCCAATGCAACTCATCAATGAACGTTTTATTCATGAATATAAAAATATATATTTGTAAATTGCAACATTACATTGTGTAGAAAGTTTATTAGCATTATTAATATTTATAGAATATACAATGTTTTAGAAATATGTTTTTTTTTTATTTTAATAAAAAGAAATAGCCTACGGACAATAAAATATTAAAAAAACAATATTTACTTATAATATTTTTTTTTCAGGCCAGTACGGGCGCGGAGCCTCAAGTGGCTGTGCTGTGCGAAGCGGGTGCCACCTACCATCCGCAGTACATGTCAGCGGCGGGCAGATGGACACCCGATCTCACCACCAAACCTCATAACTGTCTGAAGGACAAAATGGAAATCCTCGACTACTGCAAGAAGGTAAGGCGTAGACCCTAAATATAAATCGAAACTGTGTAAAAGAGAAATTCCATAGATATTGTCGAAAGTTATGGCTTCGTCTATTGTTTGTGGTCGGTGCAGGCCAATAGTTAAAAAATAAAAACTAGCAGATATGCTGTAGCATGGTACATTTAAAAAAAAATATCCGAATATAAAATGAAAACAAAACTTCGTCTTCGTCGACTTCATAAAATTTTATTTTTTTTTTTTCTTAAGCAGTATAGTAAAATTTATTAAGTAAAATTGAAAAATTGAAAAAGCCTCTATTACTGTTTCTATAGTTTATTAGTATTCTAATTTATTGTACATGACATTAAATAAATGAAGTTTAGTTTTGTATGAAAATGTACGAAATACTTATACTAATATAATTCACAATTTTGTTGCCTGAACGACTGTGATGGCATGGCCGACCATCATTAGATTTTACAAATATTCACCTCGAATTATAGCTTATATTTCTCTTCAAGGGCTAAGATTATCAGACAAAATAAGTACATAATCTGGTTACCTTGTATCGTTTAAAGTAATGCGATTAACTTAGCTAAGGTTAGACGTTTTCAATGTTAATAAATGTAAGGTAAATATGTTCAATTTGTATTTACTTATAATACTGATAACTAGTCGAATATAAAATGATTAAAGTATCTATTCACAGGAGATCTAAAATGCTTAAGCAGTAGTTTATACTCGCAGATAGCTAGGATTATAATAAGTACATTGTAATATTAGCTATCTGCGAGTGAAAGTCCCGTCAAAATTGATCTAACTTTTTAAGAGATTATCAAGAACAAAAATATAGTTTTTTTTTATTAACGCACTTTAATTTTGCTTATTTGAGTACAAAGTAAATTTGTTACCTTTTATAGCGTTACTGTTGTTATTGTCTAGGTCTACCCGAGTCATGATATCACTAACATCGTGGAGGCGTCGCATTACGTGAAGGTCGCCAATTGGTGCAAGCTGGGAACGGGCAATGCGGCTAAGTGCAAGGTCACCAGATGGGTCAAGCCATTCCGTTGTCTTGGTATGTAAACTTCTAATAAGCGCTTGAAAATCTTTCTTAAATGCATAACCTTGGACTAAGAATTTTTTGACAACCCCGGTGGCTCTTCCGATGCCGTTGCCATTGGAATATGACAGAGAGTCATATTCCAATGGTAATCTTAATGTTGACGGCCGAAATTAAGCCAACACAATTTAGCAGTGCCCTCAGACTAAGTCAGTCAAGAGTTTAGGTCTTTAACCGTGCGGTTTGAAGTGCCTTCTGCTCTTATTTCTATTTTCGTCTAATAAAGTTGTAAAGGTCCACTTAGAAAATAGCATTAGAAAACTTTGAAAAAGAAATCAAAACCACACCTCATAAGATTGTACATGTGATAGTACTGTATAATTCTATCCTGTTTTATCCTGTATAGATTAGGAATAGTACAGGAAATTAGGAATAATAATGACTAGACTTAGATAAAGAGAAACATACGCCTTAAATAAACAAGAGACGTACAATACAACGAGCAAAACAAAATAAAAATAAAGGCCTGAATTTGCGACATCTAAAATAATTATCTGTGGAATTTTCCTAGCCATTTGGAAGTGTAACCAAAATTCTCTTATTTCAATGAGTCCAAATATACCCCCATTTGTGAAATTTCACTTACCTATATTAGTAAACTAGTTTATGTTAAAACAGATTATTGTTATTGCTTAATTTATCTTTAAGTGTAAAAAATAAGTGAAACAAAAGATTGAAAAGCGTGGAATAACCCGAACAAGATCGCACAGCCCATTTAACGACCTGCTCATCAATAATACCTACTTCGTTGGTCCAATAATACTAATGAACACTTGACATCAATATTTCAAAATATAGCCTTCTCCCTGATTAATGACTGCTCATTTTTCCTGTGCGCAATGAGTATTTTAATAAACGCTTTACAAATTCTGTGCCTTTCACTGTGTTGATAGTCTTGATACTTATCCCAGTGTTGGAACAGCCTGTTTGGAAACAAGTGTTTTAATTTTATTACTTGTAAATTTATATTTCAGTCGATAAAATGTAATAATACCATTCCATACTATACTTTAATTCCCCATACTTTTTGATACAACGTAATCTTAACGGGTGGTAGTGGGAATTCATAGGGAGTATTCCCATTCAAACCGCTTTAGTAGTTTTTTATATATTTAGATAATAGGGTATATGATAGATATGGTATACTTCTTTTGCCATAAATTGTAATTACAAACCACATTATATAGAAAGTTGTGTCATACACCAGCAGTGAGTGGTGCTTGTTCTTAAAACTTAAAAGACTTTATTCTGACGGGTGTGTGATACAATCTTTTAAAGACCACGTCTAGACCGAGGTCTGTACCTCGAAGCTCCAGGGTCTATATCAAGGTAGCACTCCATCTTAACAATTTGATAGATGAAAAATTCTGTCCACATTAATATAGTTTGTTTTTATACGTTGCGACATCATTAGCTACAAAGATTATTTGGTGGCAGAAGGTCCATTCCAATCGGACGCGTTGCTGGTGCCTGAGAGTTGCTTGTTCGACCACATCCACAACCAAAGTCGGTGCTGGCAGTTCGCAAGGTGGAACGCTACAGCTGGCCGTGCGTGTGCCCAGCGTGGTCTCCGGCTTCGGACTTTCGCTATGCTGTTGCCTTGTGGGATCAGCCTGTTCTCGGGAGTAGAATTCGTGTGCTGTCCAAAGCATTTTAAAGGTAAGCGTTTTAAAACATTTATCAGGAATATTCAGAAAGGAGTAAATCTGTTTTAAGAAATGTCTTTTATAAAAATCTTAAAGCCATCCATATAGTGTTTTAAGACAAATGATTATTATTATAACGGGATAATCCTAAAAATACTTCATCGATTTTAAAATATATTTACGTCTATAAATAACTATACATTATTAGCGAATAAAATAAGCTAGATAGCTTTATTTAAAAAAAGTCTTTTAATGATTGTGAATAGCTTAGATATAGTATAAGATACTTTAACAATGTCCTGGATTTGTATGAGTACGATCCAGATCCAGGGCGAGGTGTTAAAGTATTATCTACTCGTGCTGAGTAGATAAATTTTACTTAAATTTTATTTTATTACAGAAAACGTAAAAATGCACAAGCCAATGGATGTCGGTGTTCCTGTCAGTCCCGGTGGTGAAGAGATGCTCGCTGCCTCTGCGGCTATGGATGAGCGTGATGATGATCTTCTTGATGATGATGATGCATTGGACGATGATGATGACGACGACACTCTTAACCTTAGCGACGATGACGATGATGATGACACTGATGATGGTAAGTCGGAGTTTGATTAGTAAATGTTGAATGCAGGAAACAGGATATTTATGATATCTTATCTTATTATCTTCGTAATAAGTTAAGAATTTTGAAGGACAGGATGGGGTTTTCAATAAAAATGGATATTAAGAAATAAAATATGTATGTACAATTTGGTGCACTACTATTAATTTATACTCGTAATTTATATAGGGACTTGCTGAAACCTGTTGATCTGCTAATAAAAGTCAGGCTCTTGTTACAACATGTCCTTGGCTAAATGAATTCTGTTTTTAATATAATTTTTAAACATCTGTACAAAGCGTTTATAATTAAAATATGTGTGTTATAGTGCAATTATATTTATCTATAATCAGATGCCGTTCTTCCTTCAGACATGGATGAGGATGAGGATGCGGATTTATCAAGAGATGATGATGCGGAAGATGATGACTATACCGACGGTGATGATAGTGCCTGGCCTCGACCTGAATCGTCATCAGCACCTTCCACCACCACAACTACTACCACTACAACCACCACCACGGTAAGAAGCCAAATTAAGGTTCATTCGCCCTCTTTTCCATTGTACAATTTAAGCCTATCATTGTGAAATTCTAAATTATCATGCTCAAAATACTATTACTCTTTTAGTCATTTATCCTCATAATTATTAATTCTCATCCTTTATTTACAAATTAGTCATCGAGAATGCTTATAATTACAATGAAGAAATTTTTCAAGGACTTAAGATGTCCTTCAACATGTTTCGCTAAAACACTAGTCACTGTTCCTTAAATTTCCTTTCATTACCATGTTTGTGAAATAAATTATAATAAACAATATCTAATAATTTACAGGCTTCTACAGCGACATCTGATCCTTACTTCTCTCACTTCGATCCTCGTACAGAGCATCAGAGTTACAAAGATGCCCAGCAACGCCTAGAAGAGACACATCGCGAAAAGGTACATTAGTACTAAATCAGCCACCGGCTTCTTCTATTAAAAATGTTCAAAACTTTTTACAACATTAGTTTCAAGTCGTATTTATCTTTAATATCTAATTTATAAGTGACATAAAATTTTCAGATAACGAAGGTGATGAAGGAATGGTCTGAACTTGAAGACAGGTATCAACAGATGATGTCAACAGATCCTACTGCCGCCCAGACTTTCCGACAACGTATGACTGCTAAATTCCAAGCTAACGTACAGGTAACTATTCTTTGCGACAAAAAATTTGACCAGACTTTTTTAACAGTTTCCCCATTACTGGCAATACATCAGGTCTCTAAACCGTTGTTAATTCATGTCGATAGTTGGACTAACTGACTGACTAGATCCTCGTCTTATTATTCTTCAGTGGTGCCTCGCCCGCGTATATCATTAGTGCAGGTGAACCTTAATTTAGTAATAGAATACCTAATTTAATCCTATCTTACGATATTCTGAGTATACAAAGGAGTTGTATTATATCAACTTTGCTATGTGCACATGTTTAGTATTCACACAAAATTCATAAAAATGAAATTCTGAACATCGTTTATTTAAAAGAGCAACACGTAACTTTCTTGCTCGCACTTCTTGTAATGAGTCAGCATTCCGAAAGAGTAGTAGTTTAAAAAAATATAACTATTCAAAAGTTTATTTGAATAAAGATTATTTCTATTTCTATACGGTATTTCTCATCTTGAGTGTATAACACTCGGTGCTAATGTAATCGGTGTCGCTGGTGCTTTACCCACAGTCGTTGGAGGAGGAAGGCGTGGCTGAGCGAAGGCGGTTGGCTGCTCTGCACCAGCAGCGCGTGTTGGCACACCTTGCGCAGCGTCGCCGCGCCGCGCTCGCCTGCTACTCGCGAGCACTGCGTGATGCTCCGCCCAACGTCAGTACCACACCTGCATTTACTAATCTATGCAGCATTGGTTTTAAACCACTGTTTAGGACTAATGAATACCATCATAGAATTTCTTTTCGGTACACTTACCGAAAAGTATTCAGGAAATTTATTTGTATAAAACAGATTAGTTGCACTATTCGTGACACAAGAACAACTGAACTGGTTTTCATGATCTTTGATTTATTGGGTATGTTATTGCTGTTATTAGAATAGCTATTAAAACATCGGAAAAATTAACGGAATAAAAGTACGAAGGAAAAACTATTTTTCTTATATTAACAATCGAAATATTATAAATATTTTTAGAACAAAATGAGAAATCATTCATTGTGTATTTGATAAGTTTTATGTAGCATTGGAAAAGTAAAAATGCAACATTATTACTTTTTTGATGGGGAAAATGTTAGAGCAAAGGCGACATTTGGACGTAACAGCTAGTATATATTACTAGCTACTAGCCCCGGCTTCGCCCCGGTACTTGTATTATACGTATAAACCTTTCTCTTGAATCACACTATCTATTACAAAAAACTACTTCAAAATCCGTCGCGTAGATTTAAATATTTAAGTATACATAGGGACGGACAGACAGCGACAGCAACTTTGTTTTATACTATGTAATGATATGTGAGCGAGTTACGATGGTATCGTGTACGTGCAGGCACACCGCGTGCAGAAGTGCCTGCAGCGACTGGTGCGCGCGCTGGCGGCTGAGCGTGGGGGCGCTCTGGCGGCCTGGCGCCGCGCCGCAGCTGCGGGCCGCGAGGCAGCCGCTGCCGAACGGGCCAGCGCCGCTGACAGGCTGCAGGTATGAACTTCAATACCTAGTATTAATATACCTTACGAAGAAGGAAATCATAAGGTATGGTGATCCTTCTTTAGCGTCGTGATCTACTTGTAACTCTGAATTACAATTAACTAAATTGTTTAAAAGATCAACACACAAGTTTCTTGCTCGTTCTTCTTGGGATGAAATAGGTTTTTGAATAACCGGTAGATTATAAAAGTATGTATGAGTCATCACATACTTTTATAATCTACCTTTACAAAATTCTACACCTAAGAGGTCGTGATTTAAAATTTCAAGTTTAAAACCAACCCTAAAAAATACTTTGTTTAGCAATATATATTACTAGCTTACTATCCAGTGAAGGAAACACCGATATCAAACTAAAAATCAAAATCAATCCGAGAGACGATTGGGCTTAAAGTGATATAATTTCCAGGATGCTGACCGTGCTCTACAACGCGCCTTGACTGCTCTACGTCGCCGCCCACACCTGTATGCCAATATTGGAACTGCTATTGAGGACTATGTTCAGGTACTTCAATATCTAACAGTGTATATAAAATAAAGTTTAATAAAATACAAATATTATTAGAGCTGACCGCATGATGTAAAATGTACTGTAATATGTGTTGTATGCATATATAAATTGTGATCTATCTGTATAGCAAATTGTATACTAATTTATTCAGTACTTTTTTCGTCAGAACAAATATAAAAAAAATCATTTATTCTCACAAGCTTTCGCTACTACTATTATTAGGACTCTATTCTCATTTAATTATTACCTCGCACACGTACAATAAACAAATATGAAGTAAGTGATTTCTGAACCTCTATTTCTCTTCCAGTCAATGCAATCTAAAGACGACATGGCTGTATCTCTCATGTCTATGACTCCTGAAGCTGAAGAACTGTTATTGGACCGCATCGAAGCAGAAGTACAACGTGAACAGGCAGCGAGGGAACAACTTAGCGCTAAACGTGATCAACGCACCAGGCAACGGCAGGATATACAAAACGAGAGAGCTAAGGTAACAGTGCAGGGTTCTTGGATTCAAAATTGATGGAGGCTATATCAATCCAAAATGTCTTCTATTTAATAAACTAATTTTAAATTAATTAATTTGGAAATTTTTGTCACTCAATTGATCACGTATCGTGAAGGGACATGAATAAGCAGGCTATGAAATCTTAACTTTATATATTTTATAATTCTTTATACACTTTAAGTGACAGTAATGGGTCCTTCATATATTAGATACACTTTCAAGTTCATTACCTTTAAATTGGCATTATAATTTCTAGATTAAAAGATTCTCTTGCTTTATAAATAATGCATGTGTGCAGACATCAAATGGCGTGAAGGAAAGCGAAGAAACTGATGACGAAGCCAGTGAAATAAATGATGGTGAAGAAACTACGCCTGCATCTACTACCCATAGCGTTCCTCCTTCAGCCGCTGCTTCTCCATCGCCGCATCTCACCGCTGCCTCTGTCTCCGTACATGATGCTACCACCAGGGCAGCATACACACAGGATACTACAACCACTGTAAGTCTTTATTCAAAGCTTCCCATTGCTGATATTGTTACAGGAATATTTAAAGTCGAAGTATTTATTTGATTGATAATCTCTGCAAGAAGTGAGATTTGATAACTTATTTTTGTATGTAAAGCAATAATTCTTGAGGATGATAATACGACACACGTGTAAAATTTAACAACGTATGCAACTTCACGAAACTGACAACTGCACGAAGTCTTAATAATGGTAATGATATATGTGTGTTAGATTCGGTATGTTTTATGTTTTCATTGTATATTAGATGTAGTTACAAAATAATTAATACAGTTAGTTAAAAAATAATTTATTTGAATATTTCTATCAATTACTTAATACACAAACTATGTAGCGTATAATTATTACTGTAAAATATGGCCAAACCGTGGTGACTTTACGTGCCTATGTGTCTAGCATCTATAGTCAGACACTATACAGTTATATTTAATTGTTGTTATTGTACGTATAGGAAGTAATCACGAGTACGGTCACGGATGTGCCCGAGAGCGAGACGGCAGACATCGGAGATATTGGCGAAACTTCCAGCCGGCGGTCCACTAGCGAGGTATATATTTTGAATCTTATTTTTTTATTGAGGGTTTTGGGCTATTGTCAGGTGCTAACCTGTAGCACCGTGACCTGCATTGATCTATTGTTCTTGCCATTCTTTGATATTCTTAGAAGCGATAGTTTTTATCTCCAGTATAGAGTGACAATATTTCAAAAAGTAAGAGATATAACACTATAAGGAGATATTTTGCGTAAGCATGGCTACAATCACATAGGATGTGTAAAATCTGCAGATTGTTGTTAAGCTCAGGCGTAAGTTTGCCATGTGTTTATTCAATTTAAAACTGGGCCTATAACCTATTAGAATATTTCTGATACTTGAATTAAAATAAGAATTTTAAAATGGGTGATACGTATTTACAACAAAATTAACTTCTAACATATCAAAACAATATTTATAATGGTGATAGTAGATTAGTTGTTATAGTTTTTTTTATGAAGACAATGAAATGTGCTTCCTCCTGTTTTAAAATTAGTTATTTTTACTTCAACGAAACGCACAATCTTAAGATAAATATTTTTTTAATCATCATATTTTTTCTTCTATATATTTATCATATATTTTTAAATCATAATTTACAGACGGAAGGTGAAGGACTGCGAGCTGCATTGGAGCATGCTGAAGAGCGCGCACCGCCTCCACCGGCACATGCACTGAAACATGAACTGCAGCATTCTCAGCCTGTAAGTATTCGTTATTTTTTTTATTCGGTTTTATGGGCTATTGTCAGGTGCTTGGACCTGTAGCACTGCGATCTACATGGATCTATTGTGCACGCCCTTTTTCAGAGTTCTCGCCCGTCAGGGACAAGAATTGAAGGATATTTTAGGAGCGATGGTTTTTATCAGCTCAGGATAAAGTGTAAACTTTCCAAAGAAGATATTACGTTTATGTATGAGTGGGCTACAACCACATAGGTTGTGTTGTGGCGTTTTCTCTTCAATTTGGCAAAATCTGCAGATTGTATTGTATGTTGTTGACCAATGTAATTCTGTATGTACTTTTTTATTTTTGTTGTTATTATTACTGTGCCTTGTGTGTATGTGTGCCTTTAATGTAACTATAAACTTTATTTATCTATTTCAAATTCAAATTCAAAATATCTTTATTCATGTAGGTCTATTACAGACTCTTATGATATGTCAAATCTAGCGTCAGTTTGGAATAATTTCAAAATGAGATGAACTGACGAGAAATTCAGGTCGTATTCTTTTCAAATTATGTTGTACTAATGAATATACAAAATTTTATCAAAATCGATCAAGCCGTTTCGAAGGAATCTGTGACACGAGAATTTTATATATTAGATATTACGTAATGTATGTGTTTGCGGTAGGGATACACGGTGCGTGGAGCGGGTGCTGGCGGTGTCGCTGGCGGTGCAGGCGGCGCTGGTGCTCTGTACCCGGCGCTGTGCGTGGGCGGCGCAGGGCTGGCAGCAGCCGCCTGCGTGGCGCTCGCAGTCGCGCGCCGTCGCGACCGGGCGCCGCAAGCGCAGGGCTTTGTGCAGGTATGTACATACATGGTGATGGTAGCACCAAAGGCTGCCGTCCGCCTAACTGTTCGGGCAAAGAGCTCAACTCGAGGCCCGAACTCTGCGGTCCGCAAGGACCTGCGACCAAGAAGCAAAGTCGTCCGCCTAAGGCGACGATGAAAGAGATAGATGCTGAATGTACCCGAAACGTAGAGATTTGTGCAGGTCTGTACACGTACAGGAAAGGCAAAGGGCCCGCCTATGGTGGCGATGAACGAGATGGATGTTAAATGTCCCGTATAGCATTGGCAGCATCAAAAGATCCCGTCTGCTTAAAGCAGCGATGAAAGAGGTAGATACTTAAGTACACGTATAGGATGGGCAGCGCCATAGGGTACCGACCCCGGAGCTGCAGAGTACATCTTGTGGTTATTACTTTTAGATTTTCCACAAGTAAAAAAAGGTATGTACATATATGTACTCGTCGCTGTATGGCATAGTATGCATCTTGTCAAAATGTGAATAAATAAGAGAAAAAACATGGACTAACATTTGATGTCTATGAGGTAATGACGACATATAAAATCAGACTACTTCCGAAACACGTTAACTAACATAGATTTTTATATATATGAAGGCATCAAGTATGAAATAAAAGGACAGAATAAATCAGAAACAGATTCTCGCAAAATTTTGTTAACTAGTAACTAAACCAATATCATTGTCGAACACTACAGAAAAAATAAGAAAAAACGAGAAAACACCCTAATGTTTAAGCTTTGACAATACATATAAATTTTAACGCTTCAATGTTTAGTAGATTAAAATATGCGGTTACATTAGGAACATTCTCTTAAATCGCAAATCTATTACAGGTGGAGCAAACAGGCGCAGTGGCGCCAACACCTGAGGAGCGACATGTAGCCAACATGCAGATCAATGGGTACGAGAACCCCACCTACAAGTATTTTGAAGTCAAGGAGTAAATTTACTGTCCATCGCCACTGCCTTCCCACCTGACGTCGCTGCTGTGTCTACTAAAATAAGAACCTTAGACATATAAACAGAACAATTATATTGATGTCATGCTGTATGTAATCCTTCTAGAAGTACTATGAGCAGGTTCATTGGTAAAGATGTTTTCTCAGCGTATGTTTCCTCTATAGTATCTAAATCTACCCCCACCTAGGAGCCATGAAGCTATTATACTAAAACATGTTTGAATAAGATCATATCAAACAGTCTAATAATAATTTCTTAATGAAATTGTTGCTAAGTTTACTTCAAGCACATGAATTGAAGAGTTTAAAACTGCTCGTAAAGCTTAATAATACTTGCTTCATTGTCCATGGAGGTATGTAATATTTTGTATATCAAACCATACATCGCAAATATTATGCGTTTTCTGTGCGATTCTCTATAATTAGTATTTTATCCTTCAATTTTTATTTGCAAAACTATTGAGGAAACATATTTATTGACCGCTCGTCTAAGTCCAATACTGATTAGTTTTTCCTCATTGTTGTGTATTAGATATATCTTGTGATGACTCGTTTTAAGTTCTTGCTTAATATATAATCAATGTGAGTGATTATAGGAAATAATTCTGCGACGTCGAATAATGAATACTGGTGGGAGGAATATTATATAATCTTGTTTATCGTAATATTAATTTTATCAAAGCTTGTGTGATTAGTGACATGATATTATTTTGTTTGCGAGAACTCGCGTCCAGTCGAATATTGTTTAAGTTTAGAAGTGATATTGGTTTTATTTGTTTGTTATTTATTGCACCAAAATATTTATTATACTTTCATAAGATTTTAGATCTAAGTTTTTTGTCTAGTGTTCTAGAAAACATAAGTGTCACATCGTAGTCGAGTTCTTTAATGTTAAGTTTTCGAGACCGCCGCCCAGATGGTAATGTTGGATGTTGGATAAGCTTTTCGTTTTTGAAATTTCGATGCATTTCATTAATATAAGACATTTCCAGAATGATCTCAGATTTATTTAAGGTAGGATCGGTTTCTTTTGTAATTTTTTATTATGAGCATATTGAACATTACCATTGGGGCAAGTGGAACAAACGTCCATGGTACGCTGTGTACATAGGCTCCGCGTACAAATTTGAACCTAAATTACTTAATACTTAAAACCCGCTTTCATTTAATTTTCTAACGTAGGTAGATCATAACGTGAATTTTATGTAATAAAATGCGAAAATATATTTTAATAATTAATGTGTACTTAGCAAGGAACGGGCGGCCAAGCCGACGCGGGTGAACGCTCTCCGTCATTCTCATTTCTCTAGTCTTCTTCTAGTCGTTGAACAGCTTTATGTAGTATATCTATATATATTATATATTGTGGTTCTAGTAAATGTTCTTGAGTAGTATGTAAATCTATCTCTTTCCTTCTTCAAGCAATCTATATCTCTTCCGTTCACCCGCGGGACAATACTCGGAGGTTCCGAATATGAAAAGCGCCGTGTAGGTACTCAACGTGTGTTTCGTAATGCGAATTTCGTAGACTTCTAATTCTTGGCATCATTAAAAATCATGAAGTGCCATCGCTTTGTTAATCTAGTCAAGATGATAGGGACATGTATTCTAATTTATGTTTACGGTTGTGTACACACTTTGGGTATTCGGTCACGGCGAAGCAAATAAGCTTAGTAAGTGAGTGTATGTACGGTTAATATATAAGTAGATGTACAAAAAGTAATACATTATATAGATGTTTTAGCGTCAGATACATAGATATAAAGCAAAATATAATTATATATCGCATTCGTCCGTATAAAGTAAGGGCTTGCGCTCGTGTCTAATCCCACGTACCACACTTAATGTTACGTCGTAGTTAAGATGTAATTCTGCCTCAGTATTATATACATATAAGCTTATTTGTTATATAAGCTAATTTATACACTATTTCTATTTATTTACGGGCGCAGTGGCGTTGCTACAAATGAAGTCATATCAGATTACGTCACAGCGCTCATCGTTGCGCTTGTTTTGGGGACGTGCGTTCGATTTGACGGTCAGCGATAGAATGAAAATTGATAGTAATTGTAAGCGATCTAATCATTATTACGTAATGCATCGGTAGCGCAACAGATGGCGCTGATCGGAATAGTTCCCATTTCGACAAAAGAAGCGCGATTTAGGCGCCCGCCCGTGGCTTGTACGGCATTTACGTAAGTATTCACTGTTAACGTAAGATTAATATTCCCGCATCAAAAAACTGCTACGTATTTTTACTCATGATAAACAAGCAGATGTATTATAGATTTTTATTTACCAGAATTTTTTGCTCAAAGCCAGCCTCGTTTGAGGACGTTCTACTGTTTGTCGATCATCTATTTGTCGTTGTAAACAATATTCGGTGTTAGTATACCTATTTAAAACCTAATTGTACTTATCCCCGTCACTGTACTATGTATTTTGATATAAGGAAACAATAACTAATTTGTGTTTACTGTGCTACATTTCATTGTGAGTTCGAAGTTCAAATTGAATCAATAAATAGAATATAAAATATTGGTGTTATTATTGGCATCTACTGCCGTATCATTTCATTCATACAGACACTAATAATATACTCATCAGGGTTGCTAACCTTTAAACACTACAAAGTTATAAAAAATTGATAAAATCTTGTTCATTGGCTGAATTTTGCTGTGTAACCTTGTATATCGTTTATTGTACCCAGTTTATTGTCCTTTTGACATAGTTTATTGTCTTATGGACTATTATTATGGGGAAAAGCGACAGATATTAAATATATATTCATATTACAAAAAAGAGCGATCTACTGTATGAGTATTCGTGACTCATTAAGAGGAAAATATTCTCACCGTTGCTTCTTTAATAGTTAATTATTCAATTTATATACATACCCAAATATTCTATACGTACTCAATAATCTTCACTTATTTCCAAAAAACAGCAATATTCATAACATAAATACTAGATTTAAAGACAAACTAGCTGTTGCTAAGTATTGCTTAGAAAAAGGTCTTTTATGGAAATGGCTATATTTAAATTTACATTAAAATGCCAAAGGATATATTGGAATTACCTTCAAATAAATTGAAAACATTGTTAAATCATATTTACTGAGCAAAGCAACTCACTAAACGATTACTTGAATGACGTGCATGGCAATAGTTGTTCATTCACTATTGTTAATTCAGTATTCTATACATCTATAGTAGTATACAAAGTAAATAAACTGGCTTTAAAAAAACTATTGGGTTTCTTGCCAGTACAATTGAATCTGTATACTAAACTTGACGTTCAAAAGCGGTTAAAATGTCCTTACATGATACATGATTTTGTATTTGAACATCTATAGGCTTTGACCGATTTTTTTAGCCAGAATCTCGTACAATCATGTAATATATGAGGGTGAAAATCTCCACGTACCAAACTAACAAACCTTCCGAGGATACTCGTTCGGATGGTAGCACTGATAATAAAAAGAGGTGATAAAGAGGTGTTGTAAGTTTGGATGTTCGGGGTAATGTCCGGTACTACTGATCAGATTTTTTAAATTATTTTATTGTTGGTTAGCCTATTTATAAAAAGCAGAAAGCAGCGTATATAATACATATATGACGACATCCATTACTAATACAAAAAAAAAATTACCCAAAAAACACAAACAAACAAATTAAATGTCGAAATTGTAGCTGTGAATTGAGATTGAGTACTAAGACTTCATAAATTCTCAAGACCTTCATTGCAACAATACAAAAGCGAAACATAACATAATAGAAGCATTAAAAGATTTCTTCTGGTGTGTTATATTCAAAATTACTAGGAATACATAACCCACTGAAGGCACTCATTTTCGTAACCAGATTCCATGCCATGATCCCTAGGATCATGTAGTACCAGGTTGGCATAAATACAAAGAAGTAGCTAATTTATTTATATTTCATAGAAATTGGTTATGGCAGTGCTTCTTTTTACTGGGCTATCATAAACTGTATCACGTTTGAATAAAAATATTTAAAAAAGAAATACTTGTACGCCTTTACATTCATTTTCGCATCTATAGTATAAATTAGGTACCCACGCAATTATCATTACATTTTTATATATACATATGTAAATTAGTAAGTACTTAAGACGATTAAATATAGTATTGCATATTTTGTCTTACCTGTGGTAAAAGGTACGAAACGTAACATAAAGCTATAATATATATATTTTTTTGTTTATTATGTCATACATCTAGGGTTATAAATGCAAAAGAATGTCTGTCTGTCTATTTGTCCATTTGTTACGACGAAATGGCTGAACAGGTCTTAGATTGTGTGACAAGGATAAACATGTTTTATCTAAAAATTATCTGAAATACTATAATAGGGAGAACGTTTATACAGACCAAATCGCGGATAACATTTAGTATAATACAAAGGTCATTCTTAAGCATTTATTTAATGACATGAAATCTTAAATGATTTTAATGTGGTGTCTTTGCTAACCAAATTAGATAATCCTCTGCAAAGAGTAATTATACCAGAATCTACTGTTAACACCACTAAATAGTAAGTAGGGGAGGATGGGGGAATTACGGACGCGGGGTAAATGTATTACGGTCATTATAAATAATAATTACGGTCTCTTCATCAACAAGGCCATCTACAAGTATCTGTATTTATTATTAGTACTATTTAAGAAATAAAAAGCGCCTGACAGTAAAATGTAAGTAAGTAGTTACTAGACAGAGTATTTGTTATACACTGGCAGTGCTTTTGAAAGAATTAAATTCAAGTATTGATACTAGATGGCGTTAGTTGTCTTAATGTTTGCGTAAATCTAATTCTTGACTAATATTATGTTATCAATGGAATATAATTTAATCTGTAATATTATCTGTATTAAAATAAACCTGTAGGTATTTGATTTATATTTTCTACCAGCTATTTCCCACGGTATTACGCAAACAACAACCTATCCCTCTTTACCAAGGGAATTTGTTAGATAGATTTTCAGAGCTTTAAAACAGAAATATTATACACTGTTTTTTTTGGGAATTCTTTCTTAGTGGGACATAGATGACTACGGTACGATACCCAAAATAAAAGGAAAAATTGGGGTAATTGTGCACTATTTTTTCATTTTTAGGTTGTGGACACGTTCACCCACATACCTACCTATAATATAGATTTCATTATTAAAGTTTAACAACAGAAGTGGCGGTATGGCAGATATATTTTTACAATTTGATCCTTT